TGTGTGTGTGTGTGTGTGTGTGTGTGCGTGCACGCGCGCTCACATTCATACAGAATTAACAGTTAATCTCTGTCTGTATACATGGCACCTGTAAGTTGTAATACAAACCAAGAATTTCCACCTCCTGTTGCCTTCATTCTCAAATTGCTTGGTGGGTCGCTCTTTCCTGCTCTTGCCAGGTTCTGCCTCCCTGGGCGGGGGCTGTGCTCTATCCCCGAGTGGAGCAAACACCAGTGGACCTTAAAGGAACGACTGAAAGGTCCATTTTCCATTCGGAAGCTTGGCTCCCTGGCCCAGGCCAGGACGGCTCGCTGCGGGCACTCAGTAAACATTTGGCAACTGGGGAGGAGGTGGCTTAACAGGCCGCCTGGAGCTTGCCACCATCAGAGGCAGCTTCAAGCCCCTAGCTCGGCTTCCTCGGTGAGGCTGGAGCCAGAGGGGACCTCAGCCACTGTCTAACAACCACACACATAAATAAAACTAAAACTCCACTGGACAGAGTAAGATGCCCCCTCCCCAGTCCCTTCCAGGGCAGCCCCTGAGCCAAGGATTCACGTGCAAGCGGTTCATTTGGGAGGTGATCCCAGAAAGCACCAATGGGGCATTTGGAAAGGAAGATGGGGAAAAAAAGGAGGAGGAGGAGGAGGAGGAGGAGGAGGAGGAGGAAAGGCACCCAAATATGATGGGTAAATGTGCAACCGAGTTGTGTTCCCAGCGGGACTCCTGGGAGGCCCTAGAGCTCGTGCCTCAGGGCTGCCCCACCAAGCGGGGGTTTCTACCAACTCCCACCTGCTAGTAGCTGAAGGCTACTCCTGCAGCTGCCGGTCCCCAGCGCTTCCAGGCCGGCTTGCACATTGGCCAAGCATGCTGCTGCAGCCCAAGGACACCCTGAGCAGAGTCCCTGCTGCAGAAAGAGGCAGGTGAGCAAAGGAACCAAGAGTCCAGGGGGTCAGAGCAAGGCAGCAATGGCGTCTGGAATCCCCTGTGCCTGGAGCAGGGTCTGGCCCACAGCTGGCACCAGACACATTGGTACATAAATGACGGCATTTACTCTGTTGGTTTCCTGTAATGTCTTCATTTTGTAAAAGGTAACTTTCTTCAAAGGAAATCTTTAAAGTTCACAAGTAATGGAGATTAGGGAGGAGCTGTCCCCCATTTATCCATTCTGATCTACACACCAAAGCCCCTCACCTGCCCTAGGGGCCCACAGACACCTGGGAGGACCACTCAGGGCCTCAGAGTGCAGGGCCCAAGCCCTGGTCTCATTCATCCTCCTCATTTTTTGGATTTATTTTTAGATATGCAGGACAGCAGAGTGTGCTGTGACATATTACACATACGTGGAGTGTAACTTATCTAATTAGAATCCCATTCTTGTGGTTGTACAGGAGGTGGAGTTCCACTGGTCGTGTATTCACAAATGAACAAGGAAAGTGATGTCCAGTTCATTCTACTGTCTTTCCTGTTCCCCCTCCCCCTCCCTTCATTCCCCTTTGTCTAATCCAATGAACATCTATTCTTCCCTCCCCACCCCCTTATTGTGTGTTAGCATCCACATATCAGAGAGAACATTCGACCTTTGGATTTGAGGGGATTAGTTTATTTCACTTAGCATGATTTCTCCAATTCCATCCATTTACCACCAAATACCATTATTTCATTCTTCTTTGTGGCTGAGTAATATTCCATGGTATGTATATGTACCACATTTTATTTATCCATTTATCTGTTAAAGGGCACCTATCATCCTGCTCATTTTACCAACAGGACAACTGAGTGCCATATCTGGTGACTCCATGAGTTAGTGCTGGAAGCACCGGGGAGTCCTAGTTAAGGAGTGGGATCCTCCTCTCCATGGTGGCAGGAAGAGCAGAACATGATTGCAAAGTCCTGACCCCTCCATGTCTCCAAGAGCACGAGGGATCAAGCCTACATCCACTCCTGTCCCATGGCTCCAGACCCAAGCTAGCCACCAAGGGAGATGTCACCACTGCAGAGTCTTCTTTCCATGGCTGCCAAATCCATCTGGGACAGGTTCAGCACATCCATGTTCACCTGGGTCCCCTCATCCCCGGGAAGGCAAGCTGAGCAGTACATCCTGAGGGGTGGCCAGGAGCAAAACCCCTGAAGATCTCCAAAATACAAGCTTGTGCTAGGAAGCCGAGCGTGGCCTCACTAAGCTTGGAATGAACTCCTAATTCATCTGGATGGAGAGGAGGGTGGGGGGTGATGCAGAAGGAAGCATTTCAGTGGTGACTTCCCAGAGCTTTCAGATGGGCTGTGGCACTGTCTGGACCACGTACACTCCGTCCACTCCTCTGATTCCAGATCTCCTGCTGCCAACACTGAGAACTCCCAGGCCAGCTGCCTCCCCACCAACCTGGACATTAGGTGAGGCAGCCAAGTCCACCGACTGGTTTCACAGACACCAGGGGTGGGAGAGATTCGTCCTCCGTGGACTCTCTGGAACAGCAGGGAATTCCCTCCGCTCACAAGAAGGATGCATTGAGTGATCGTAATGAATCTCCCAGAAGATGTACACACATTAGGTCTCAGTTATGAATTTTTTAAAGAAAAAAGTAAATAAATACCCAGAATGATTTGGTGTGAACCCCCGTGGAAATGAGCACTCTGTCTCCCTCTATTCTCCAAAATGGAAAACGGAAGGCTGTTTTCCAAATATCTCAGCTGCCCAGCCTCCTCACTTTACAAATGCAAACTTGAGGTCCAAAGAAGGGGAAGGAGAGCTGCCTACATACAGCTGCTCAGTTATTGTAGAAGATCTGGGGCCAAAGTGCCAGTTTTCCCCACTCCTGACATACAGTGCCTTTCTTCTACACTAATTTTAAATAAAATCTACTTTTTCCCCCTGTGTTTTGTTTTAGCTCTACATCCCCACACTCTCTTTCTTTCTTTCTTTGCCTTTTTGTTTTAGCTCCATGCCTGGCTCTAAGACTTGCTTTAAATTTTGGCTGAGTGGAGGACTGTATGGATATATGGCTGATCCTTCTTGTGATGGGAAGTTTGGGGCTTTTCTGGGGAAGCCCATTGTTTAGAGATCTTCCAAAGGGTCCCCACATCACCGTGTTGGACAGTTGCACCCCTGAGGGAAAGTTTTCAGGCCATCACAGAGACGGGGATGGAGCTCCCAGATCAGAATAAGAGGGTGATGTAGCGGGAGCCGCGTCTGAGAGCAGGTGCGACATGGTGCGGCAGGGTTCCTAGATCCCTCCCCAGAGAGGAGTCCCTCAAGCTTGCCTGGCTGGAATAATATCCAGATCTGAAACTCTGTGATTCAGCATGGTCCACCAGGTCATCCCTGTGCTCACTACGATGGCATCCGTACCCTCAAAACACTCGGCCGGATAAAGTGATTTGTGAAAACTGGTTACCCTGGTCCAAAACAGCCATGGTGATTTCTGGCTAAGAGAGAAGTCTCCAGACATCAGAATGTCCTGATCACAGTCGGAGGAGCTTGTCATCCTGGGGCTTTGCCTACTGATTCTTATCACTGGAGGATTGTGAAACAAGCAGTAGGTGTTATCTTTGTTTATTGAGATTAACCATTCTTTTCCTTTTCAATAGAACAGCCTCGTTACTAATGCTTTTTTTCAAACAACAGACAACTAACGATGAAGGAAATAGGAGTTGCCATCAGTATTTTTATGAGCATCACTTCTTTGTCTTCTATGACTTTCTTGTCCAAAATTTCAGCCTCATCACGGCACCCCCAGCCCCTGTAACTACCTACCTTTCCTGGAGTACTTTGGTCTGAGTCTTTGATGTCAGTTCATCGAATCCTTACTACATCCCACAATGTGGTGATTATCATCCCCAATTTACAGATTGGAAACTGAGGCTCAGAGACGTTGTGACCTGTCTAAGGGCACTCAGCAAACATATGACAGTCCTGAGTTTCGAAGCCAGATTTACTTTATTTCCAAAGATGAAGACTTGACAAGAACAAAAGCTACCTTCACTACGTAGCAGGTGCTGGGCTCAGGGACCTGCTTCCATTCTCACAGACCTTTATTATGGGTTGAGAAACCTAAGGCATGGAAGGGTTAAGTGACTGGACTTACACAGCTGATAGAAGACAGAGCCAAGACACAAACTCCAGGTCCCTGACTCCTCAGCTGCACTCCTAACTAGAAGCTACATGGCCCGGCAGCCACAGGCTGGTGTGGGACATGGGATCACACGCATTTATCACAACCAAGGGCGGGAGCTTTTCCATGCTTACTTTAAACTGGAAACCAATAGCACAGTCCTGCTCCCTGAAGCCAGCAAATCGTCCCCCTCCATGTGGTGTCTCCCTGCCTGCTCACAGCCCACAACCTGCCATGGGCCTCTGCCACCTGCCCTCTGCGAATCCTCAACCTCAACTTGGCCTCACCCCCAGTTCGTCAATGCACCCCTCAAACCTGGCGCTTACACAGCCATCGAGCCAGACCTCAGGTTTCAAAGACACACGCATCCCATGATTGGCCACTTGTGACCAAGACCTTGGGAAAGCATCTCAGCCTGCTCAGCCTGCAACCCAAGACTTAACCTTCAACCCAGCCCTGACCTTGCAAGCCATTACCTGCCTCCTTGACCTCCCTGGACTGATCCAGGTTTAATAAACAAGTCAGCAGTCAGCTCCAAAATCCTGGAGGTGACAGATACTATTCAGTGTTGTCACTTAAGTAAGGAGGTGGGAGCTCATTGATAAATACACATGAGCAACACTGTTCTGAGGCTGCACTCTACTAGAGGCCATCTAGCTGTGTGGCTTTGGGTGAGTCATTCCACCTTTCTGATCACCATCTTCTTTATCTATCAAATAATGGGTAGGACTAGGTGATCCCAGGCCCCCACAAACCCTAAGATTCTATTACTCTGTGATTGTGAAATGAGAAGCCGCATAGATATTATTCCCATCGATGCTTTGATCTAATCATTAACCAGACTCATGAAACTTTCTGCAATCCGACTACAAAGTTCACTTTTAGGGAAAAGGGGAGGGTTCCGGGCAGCTGGACGCTCCTGGACATCTCCGGGGACCTAACACTAACCTGGACTTAGTTTGCTGGCAACAGCGGAAGGAAGTCTGAGGATCTTCACAGGGACGGGGTGCCCTTTGGAAGAAGGGGTACTTTTGGTGAGTAGAAAACCGTTAAGATTGCAGAGGCCACGTTGAAATCCACTTTTGGCCCATGCTTACTCTTGTTGTTTTGTTTCCAAGTTTGGCTCGATGGCTTGTTTTTCCTCTGTTCCTTGTGTCATCTGGTGGGATGCGGCGTCCGAGAGTCATAACTCATTCACGGTGCTCTGGAAAAAAGTCACTGTGCAAAGCAGATGCAGTTTCTGCATGAAGGCCAAAAGAAAACCGCAATTCACGTGGTTCATGGCCCACGTGGGCGGCTCATCCCACAGTGGCTGTGAGATGGTCATTTGTTTCTGGTTTCTTGTGCTTGGTTTTGACTGGAGACTGGGTTAAAGATACAGCCTGTCAGCTGAGCTCGGTGGTGCATGCTTGTAATCCCAGCAGCTCGGGAGGCTGAGGCAGGAGGATGGTGAGTTCAAAGCCAGCCTCTGCAAAAGCGAGGTGTTAAGCAACTCAGTGAGACCCTGTCTCTACATAAAATATAAAATAGGGCTGGGGATGTGGCTCAGTGGTCGAATGCCCTTGAGTTCAATCCCCAGTACCTCCCCCCAACAAAAAATAAGATCCAGCCTGTCACTACTGCCCAGAATTTCCCCAGGACTCAGAAAAAATCGTGCGGGCCCAGCATGTCCCTAGGACTCTTAGAAAAGATGATGTGGGCCTGGCGTCTTCAAGGAACAACTGAAGCTGGAAGGTTTTTATTTCTTCCTTAAAGAAACCCAAAAATCCCTCCATTGTGTCCCTAAACTCCTTTTTTGATGTGCTTTTCTCTGCTGCCTATGATTCCTATGGGTTAATTAACTCCTTTATAAAATACAAATACTTTCCCCAAAATCCACACACGAAAACACAAGCAGCCTCTAGCAGAGGTAATCCATAAAGCTAACTGTCAAACATTAACTCCTTAATAAATTTGGTCTATCTAAATTACTTCTAATGTGACAGCTAGCTGTGGTGATGGAGTTTCCAACAAAAGGCAAATTGTGTTTTCTAAATCGACTTTAGTATTCATTGACTCATCTGAGCTTCACGGAAATAGCAGACTGGTTTGTGTTCGTTCGTTCATTCATTCCTATACCAAATGTTATGGACTGGCAAAAGCACAGCAGGGCGATAGAGATAATGACAAGATAAGGATGCTTCTTATGTGTGCCACTCCCAGCATATGGGGCAACAGACACATAAAAACCATCACAGACACACACACCCAAAGGAGAACAGCTCAGAAATGTTAAGTGTTTTGCCCTAAGTCAAACAGGTAGAAGATTCTGCAGCAGGATTTCCTGCCAGGTGTCTCGTGATTAACTTCAGAACACTCTTCAAGACCTCCTAGAGCTTCCTGCACATGGACCAGTTTAGATGGGGGAAAGTAAGGAAAGAAAGCTCCCACACCAAGGTTCTGTTGTTGGACGGATGATCTGCTAATTACTGCAGAAACTAGTGATCGCCAGCAGCATCAAGAGATCTCCCCTCAGAACAAATGGGTAGCAATCCCATAGCTCAGCTGCATGATTTCTCCAGCGGTCCTGAGATGATGTCCAACCCGGCCCAGCATCTGGCACGGATTTGGTGTTCAAGAAACACCTACATCCTCTTTGTTCAGGGGGACTCAGTCATTTGACCTCTTGTCGGTATGTTACCAACTGGCAGATGGTCAATCCCAAAAGAAGCCTTGACATCTCAACCACATTGCCTTGATCCCTGGCTCCACAGTGTGAGAAAGACTTAAATTGTCCTCAAGATCTTTGCTTTTCCCTGGTAACCTCTTTCATTCACTAATCCCATTCCACCACCAAGTCCCAAGTCACAGTGCTTTTTAATTCTAGACTTGCCCCCAGCTTCAACGTGTATTGTAAGTGCGCTTGTCAAAGTGTCCCTTCCCACTGCGGTAGGTCTCTCCTCGGATGGCACTCTCAGACCAGCTGTTAAGACAAAAGAAATATTCTACCTAAGACCGAGATCAAAGATGCAGACCATCACTTATCTTTTCCAGTACTTCCTTTGGCCACACAGTGAGAGATGACAGACGGTCCCTGTCATCGCGGAGCTCCTCGGGGTTCTCTTTGCTCATTTGTTCTCTTTTGCAGCCCTTCAGGTTGCTGTCACCTCCATCCGGTGCCCAGCGCAGCCACCCAGCTTTGATTCTCAGGCACCACAGGCCCTCTGTGTGCTGAATGGGGTCTCATGTGCTCTGAATCTGTGGCTATCAGCCACAGAAAAGAAAATTGTTAGATACCTGCTGGGTACAAAGTGCTAGGCTAGGACTGGGGAGAAAAGAGAGTTGTCGTGGCTTCGAAAAGCACATAAAATCCTGTCACTCGTGACAATACGGAGAGACCTGGAGGACATCATGTTAATTGGAATAAGTCAGGCACAGAAAGACGAACATTAAATGACCTCCCTCACACATGAAATCTGAAACTTTCATCTCAGAGACATTGAGAGTAGAAAAGAGAGACCACCGGAGAGTTACCAGGTTGTCAGGGACAGGAGAGTGGCAGGGGAAGGGAGCAGAGAAGCTGATCGGTGGGCACTGAATTACAGTTAGATAGAAATAAGAAGTTGGATGGCACCTTTTGGTGAATATATTCAATAATAATTTATTGTAGACCACTAAATAGATAGAAGAGAGGAACTTAAATGCACTCACCATAGGAAATGATAAAATTTCAGGAGTTATGAATGATAGATACCCTGACTTGATCACTACCCAGTGTATCCATGAATTAAAATGTCAGATTATATCTTAGGAAAAATATACATATAGATGTAGATTTTTTAAAAAGAAAAATTAGAAATGAAATAAGCATGGCCTCTGTTCAAGAACCAGCTCTGGCACCAATTTACAGTATCATCCTGGGAAAATGACAACCTCATTCTATAAAATGATGATGTTGTAAACCCTTAGCTGATGGGGTCATTGTAAAGAATAAATAAGGTGAAACAAAACCAAAATACAAAGGGTAGGCATGTAAAGTGCTTGGTTGGCACATGACTAACAATAATAAATGGTATGCAAATAAATAAATAAACAGTGTATGAGGCTGACTTTGGTGTGTTTTATGGGGTAGGTAGAGTACCATGGTAGAGTGTAGGAAGAAGAGATTCTTTTTTTTTTAGGTTTTTTTTTTAATTGTTGATAGACCTTTTATTTATTTATATGCAGTGCTGAGAATTGAACCCAGTACCTCACCCATGCCAGGCAAGTGCTCTACCATTGAGCCCCAGCCCCAGCCCCAAGAGATTCATTTTGATTGAAAAGATTAAGAAAGGCTTCCCAGAGCAGACAGAAGTTGAGCTGGCTGTGGAAAATAGGTAGCTTTGGAAAAAGGATCTTGGGAACTTCCAAATGGTTTATTGTCAGTGTTGAAAAGCTGTGCACTGCTGGTTGTGGTTAAGTCTTGAAGGATGACATTAACTCCTACCAGGTAATGTAAGGAGCAATGTTGCTACATTCAGAAATAGCTGGGTTGATAGAAGACTTCAATGCTGCATGTACAAAAATGTAACAACAAATCCCAGCATTACCTACAATTATAATGCACCATTAAAATGCACAGGAAAGGAGTCTTCAATACCTTATGGCTAGAACTCTCCCTGACCCCATGCAGTCCACAGATGACATAGAATAATATGACTGGATGTTTTATTACCCGAAAGATCATTTAGACTATCAGTCACTAGATGTCCCAATTGTTATTGTAGTTTCAACATCCTAGTCCAAAAGTCATCTAATTATCAGATGTTCATTGCCAATACAATTTTGACCACAATTGATACATTAAAAAGAACCAGGAGTTGCAAAGCCACTAAATTTATGGGAAATCGTGATAAGGACAAAGTTTCTAGAAAATATCAGTTTTAGAAAGAAACCTAGCTAGACCCTAAGCAAGCCACTTAGCCTCTCTGGTGTTCAAAGCATCTCTTGTGCTTGCAGCCCTGATGTCCCAAAGCCTCAGGTCAGAAGAATAGCACAGATTAAATGACGCTGTAAAGAAATCAACCAAAAATTGAGCATGCAAAAGTATCATGACTTTTCAACTACGAAAGAAAGAGATTGTCACCACCACGAAATCACTCCATTTCAATTCAACAAGCAGGAAGCACCTTAGTCCCCAGGGATACAGAGAGGAATAATCTCACTGTTCTCTGCCTGGGACAATCGTGCCTGAAAAGCCACATATCCAGGTGTGAACGCCATGGTTCAACAGAGAAACCAATACACTCTGGCTTGGCCAGAAGCAAGAGATACTGGTGGGACAGAGGCTGGCAACTGATTGGAAAGGGAGGGCAATTCTTTTAAACTTCTGAGGTAAGAACAAGTGTCCACGGCAGGGAGCACCATGAAGGTGGACTTGAACTTCATATAATGAAGATCACCCCAGTTGGAAAATCTGGAGAATCCCCAAAGCCAGAAAGACTTCAGAAACTCTCAGAAGGGCTCTAGACGACCCTTCTGCACTGACCAGGAAGTTAGCTCAGATGCATGTTAGGGTCCGCACTTCTAACTTCCTTAAGTCAATCAGTGCACAGTAATATTTAATCGCATCCGTCATTTACAGAGCACATATTTAGTGCATGCATCCCGACTTTGGAACCAGCATGCTTGGGTTTAAATCTCAACTCATCTACTTCCTAGCTGTAAGATTTATTGGATAAGTTAGCTGCTCCGTATCTCAGTTTCCTTATCCATACAATGGGAATAATAATAGTTTCTAATTCAGAGTAGTATTGAAGTTGAAAGGAGATGATTTATGAAAAAGCACTTTTGAAGAGTAGCACAAAATACTAATAGCAGTACTAATATGTTACTCCTGCGATAGACAACAGCAATGTGTCAGGCCCTGGGCTAGACACTGGATTAGCAGAACTGAGAACGCAGACATGCTCGGTCAGGAGGTGAGATGACATAAAAGATATTGGACAAAAAGTCACAAAAATAAGAACGTAGTTTCAAGCTGACAATTGCTATGAGGAAAAGCAGAGGACACTAT